GGTTGGGGCCATCTAGGATATGATCGCAAACTGCAGACTTCCCGGAACGGTGATGCTTCACATCAGCTATATGTTCTTTTACGCGGGTTCTAATTGATCTTTTTGTTTGTCCTATATAAGAGAGATCACATTCACAATCAAGCTTGTACACTCCTGCATCTTGTAGAGGAATATGACACTTGACGGATGGTAGGAACTGACTAATCATCTTCGGCGGCTTGTAGAATGTTCTAATAGAAGCTCGCTTCAAGATGTAGCCAATGTTCTCTGTGACATCTCTGACATATGGTAGTATTGCAGGCACACGCTCGACTGTGGCCGGCTTCACTCGGTCAATGTGACGTAGGCGCAGGACCCGAAGCTTGTTGTCGTGCAGAACTTGCTTGACGTGCTGAAGCTCGGCGGCCAGGTGTTTGCTGTCACAGATCCCTCGTGCTCTCTGTAACAAAGATTTGCCCACGGTAGCTAACTGTGAAGGATGGTGGTGAGATTCACCGTTTAAATATCGGTTTGTATGGGTCTTTTTCCTATACACAGTGTGACCAATGGTGTTGTTAGGATTTCGGATGACTAACACATCTAGGAAAGGTAAGGAATTATTTGCCTCTAACTCCATAGTAAATTGGATTTTGAGTTTATGGAATTATATTCTAAAAATTATGTTCTAAAAATGCAGTTACTTTGTCTGATGGTAAAATTGTGAAAGTATCGTCTACGTCGATCCTTGGTTTAACAGGTGCAGTAAGGAGAGCTTTCTCCTCAAAGTCTTCATAAAATTAAAACTAAACCCAAGCATACCACTGCAAGACCTCAGGACATAGTCAGTTCATTTTGCATAGATCGGACCATAAACAATAATTAAAAAAGCTGAAGGTACTCCGGGTTTAACAATGACATTGGGTCGTCAGTCATTTCAGTACCCCGTGATCATGGGTGCTGGAAAGCGCCTGAAACGTCGGGAATTAAAAATAAAAGTAATTAAAAGTAGAATAAACGCGATAAAATCCGTAAAAGTAGTTTTAATCCTATTTTACTTCTAAAAAATTTATTTGTGATAATGAAATACTCGTATATGAGATGTCGAGAGAAATATATAAGAGAATGCTTTTGATTCCGGAGATATTGCAGATACTGAAAATTGCCGAGTTAATACACGAATACACTGGTGCATGCTCTGATAACAAGCACTTGTGATGCCTTATACACTGGCTGTGCCAATATTTCTCAGGAAAACGTCACCGAGTGCTGGGATAAACTTGTGTCTGAAGTCCAGTCTTTGATGAACGGAATCTTAGATTGGAGGCGACTAAATCTAGTCCACATCAATCCCCAGAAGACACAAGTTTGCGTGTTTACCGTTAAAAATAACCATTTTGTAATATCACACTCGAGTGAAGGCACTCCCGTTGCTGCCTCAGCTAGCATCGGAATCCTCGGCATCGACATATCTAATAGTGTGCAGTTTCGTGGTCACTTGGAAGAGAAAGCCAAATTGGTCTCTAAAAAAGCTTGGCGTGCTCAACATAACGAGACAGTATTTCATGTCGGCGCATCGCTTGCATTTCTGGAAAGTGCAAGTTCGACCTCACATGGAATACTGTTCTCATCTCTGGGCCGGGGCACCCCAGTGCCAGCTCCTTCCACTTGACCGCATCCAGCGCAGAGAGAGAACACCAGATCAGAGAACCATCGACGACCGAGTTCTTTCTGATCGGCTCGATTCACTGGCGCTGCGTAGGGATATTGCATCCCTTTGCATTTTCTATCGCATCTACCTCGGGGAGTGCTCTGAGGAATTGTTCAGATTAATTGCAGCCGCCGAAATTCACGAATGCACATCGCGTCAAAATTCACGATACCATCCTTACCATCTGGATCCTTGGCGAAAACTCTTAGTAAAACGCACAGTGGTGGACGTTTTACTAGGAGTTTTCTTACACGTACAACTCCTCTGTGGAATTGTTTACCGCTGGCTATTTTTCCAGACCGATACGACTTAGGGTCCTTCAAGAAAAGAGCTTACTCCTTTATAAAAGGCCGGCAACGTATCTGCAAAAAAAAATATTAATAAGTATAAGTAGATTCATTTATCTACATAGATTATATATAACAAAATCATAATTTTTACAGATTCAAATATAGAAAAATACAGAAATAGAAAAGACATATTTTCAATGAATGTCCAAGGAGTCTGTAACGCAGACTTGCTATTTATGAATGTTGTTGCACATTGGCCTGGGTCTGTTCATGATACTACCACATTTAACATCTCTAAGCTAAAAAGTAAGTAGATAATTAGTTATTTAGAAGGTTTTTAATAGGTCATCACTTAAACATGGTTACCGTACATTACGATACAAGGGACTTAAGTAGCCGAATATTTATTGAACCGTGTGAAGTTAGCGCACGAGCGAAACGAGTGCACTAACTTTACACGTTTTTATAAATTTTTAGTTAAAATTTTAAAATTTTTACTAAAAATTGTACTAAATTTATTATTACTAAAAAATTAAAAAAGTTTAAAATTTTATAGTACAAGTAACTTAAATTCTCGAAAATTTGACTTAATCCAAATTCAATAAAAATATTATTTGAAATTTAAATCAAACACAAATGTTCTTTCACAGAATTCTAGATTTTTTATAGGATAGGGTGACAAACGAGCACACAGTCCAACTGATGCTAAGTGGTTGCTGTGGCAAATAGACATCTATATTTATCCTCGATTACGAGTCAAAATGCAGATGCGTTGTCACTCGTAAGGGCTAAGATGAAATCCCTTGTTTCCAGGAAAACGGGTCTCCGGTTCTTTACACTCACCATACGAAACACAGCAGCATTAAAACGTGGTCCTTCCCCGCTCGAGCCGACCCATTCATGCTACAACTATACTACTAATGTAACTGCAGCATGGCTCTACCACGTATAAATAGATCTAAAATATCAACATCATGTCCGCATGAAGAAGTTTTTTGCGGAAATCATAATCATCCTCACTAAGTGTTAAAGAGTAAATGCGGATTTGGAAAGTGGAGGGTTCGAAACCATTATTAACCATTTCTGACATTAAAAAAGAAGAAGAACAAATAAAAGAAAAAATAAAAAAGAAGAGGGTTAAGGTCTACTAGACTTAGATTGGTTTTCGTCATCATCCCTATTTGGTAGACAATCAGACATCTACCACTTAGTAGAAGATTGCATTATAGAATTACCTTCTACTTTAAAAATATTTAAATTGGTAAAATTAACATGGTAATTTACGTATGCTTAAATACGTAAATTACCATGTTAAAGTTCTTATACAATATTTTAATTCCTTTAAAAAATGAAAATATGCTACTTTATTACAATATATCCAGTTCAGGGAAGCAGGCTAAGGGTCCGTTCACACAGACCGGCTCGGAGAGGAGAGCAGATTTTTATCACGTTGGAAACAGTGTTTTGAGTGATTGTAGTAAAGTTTATTTTTGCATTTGCACCTTTTTTGTCATTAAAAATGCCTGAACGCGCTTCGTGTGAAGTAATAAAAGGAGCCGACCGGCTCCGCTTGCGTGCTCTTTCTCGCTCGCGCAGCCGATCGGCTCTGATTGCGTGCTCTTTCTCGCTTGCGCAGCCTGTCGGCTCCGATTGCGTGCTCTTTCTCGCTCGCGCAGCCGATGGGCTCCGATTGCGTGCTCTTTCTCTATCGCGTAGCCGATCGGCTCCGATTGCGTGCCCGCTGCGGCCGCGCCGACCGCCATTTTGATAGCAACATTTGAACGTAATAGTTGTGCGTACTTGTACGAAAAGATGAATGATGAAAAATTAATAATACTCGTGTCAAAATATGAGTGTTTATTTGACATAACCAAGCCATCATATAGCGATCGGATAATGAAAGACAATGCATGGGAGGAAATTAGCAAATGTCTCGGAATAAGTGGTAAGTAAGGTTTTCATTGTTTTACACCTACCCCCAGATACTCAAACGAATTTTAAAGCAAGGGCTTCTTAAACTCGTGCTGCGACGTGTTAGATTCAAAGTCAAAATAGGAATAACATGAGTTTAAATGCGCCCTTACTTTAAAAACTCGTTTGAGTATCTGATCGTTAGAATATACTTATGTAGTAGACAATTTTTATTAAATATAACTTAAGAAACTCGCGTAGCCACTTGATCTTGCCAATCTAAAGCACCACTTGATGAAAAATAATCCTTAAATTTATTCCTTGTGGTTAGAACTGCGTCGCTATTAGAACTGTTTTCATTATTATTGTCTGTTATTGCTGTTAATAAATTTATATTGCTGTGAAATTCATTCTCTTGTCCTGGCGTCCGATTTTCTATTAAAAAATTATGTAAACATGTAGTTGCTAATATAATTAAATCACAGTACTTCGGCTGAATTTTCATTCGTTTTTGATAAATTTCAAATCTTTGAGTTAGCATTCCAAATGCACATTCTACGACTTTTCTTGCCCTGCTTAAACGCAGATTAAATACTTTTTTTGATAATTCTGTTCTTGCTTGTTCTCTTGGATACGGCCGCAATATATTATTGCTCAAAGGAAATGCCTCGTCTCCTATAAAAACATGTGGTAAGCTTTCAGTGGTACTAGGTAGAGGTTTATTTGGGGGCAGCTTTAACTTATTGGTGTTGAGTTTTTTCCAAAATTTTGAATTCTGTAAAATTCCGCCGTCGCTATTTTTACCATATGATCCGACATCAACAATTAAAAAACTGTATTTCGCGTCGACCACAGCTAGTAACACTGTACTGAAAAAGTTTTTATAATTATAGTATAAGCTACCACTATTATCTGGTGCCTGTATATTGACATGCTTTCCGTCTATAGCGCCCAAACAGTTAGGAAAATTCCAAATATTAAAGAAATCACGTGAAACCTTTTCCCACATTTCTTCATCTGGCATCTGCATAACTATGGGCATCAAAACATCACAAATTACTCTGATTGTCTCATGAATAATTGAATGAACTGTAGAAATTCCCATTCGAAAATTAAATGACAAGTTTTTTGAAACTGCAACCAGTGATGAGGAATCTGTAAAAATAAAACAAACACACAAAATAGAAATATAAGACTGCCGTACCAAAACGAACTATAAAATAAAAAAGAGTTATGTTATTAATTTTTCATTTCTGTTCTTTCCAGTGACGCAGTGCCAGGATCGTTGGAAGAAACTGCGAGATAACTTCAGAAAAGCCTATTATAACCGAAAAGGCAAGAGTGGCGATGGTGCAACTACGTCCAAATTGATAAAATTTGAAAAAGAACTTTCTTTTATAATACCATTTTTTCGCAATCGAAACCAAATATCTAATGTAACATTATCATCGGATGATTCAGAGCCTGGCACACCAATACCACCACCATCGACATCATCTAAACGTTCTGACCATTCTGAAGTTGAATCGCTTGCAAGTACTTCTGGCTCGAAAAAGAGACCACGCTTAAGCAAAGATGTTGCTACGGTTTTCGAAGAGTATCTTGAAGAAAAAAGAAATACTACACCCCGTGACAAGGCATTACGTAATTTTTTTTGTCTATGTCAGATACAGTGGAAACATTCCCAAAAGAAGTCCAAGCACGAATTAAAAGGCGCGTGTTTAACATTGTTAATGAAGCTGAATTAAGTCTGTATGAAAATAGTACAGATTTGAATTATTCTTTGTCTATAAATTCACCGCCATCGACTAATCAATCTACTTACCTAGTGTCAAACGAAACCTATATTCCTCAAAACTATCCAGATCAGACTACTTACGGGTACAATACCAGCACACAAAATACAAAATAATAAACAATCAAAAACAATAATAATTATAATAATAATAATTAAACACACACAAATCTGTACTATTTAATTACATTTCATTAACGTAAATAATGCTTAATAAATGGAGGGCTGTGATTTTGTGATCTATTTAGATGTTTGTGTTATTTAACATGATTAGTATAAGTAATTTACATTTCATTAACGTAAACAATGCTTAATAAATGGAGGGCTGTGATTTTGTGATCTAAATAACATGATTAGTATAAATAATTGTTTTTTATTTACCTTAAAGTTACCGTTAACCTTTCTTCGGCTGTAATGGTGCAACGATAATTTGTAGTCTTTTTTGTTATATGTACTCTTAACAAATCTGTCAATTTCAAAAATTGCCAATATTCCATACGATAATACTCATAAAATTTTAGGCTATCTCTCTTCAATTCCTCGAAAATGGTGTGAAACTCCCCATGGATTAGTCTGTTTTTCCAAATATGTTTTACCCATATTTGTTTCCGCTTGCGCTTACGTTTCCTATGTTCTATTTCAAGTAATCTTGCTAACAAATATATTTCTTCGTCGGAGCTATCTAAATCCATGTTTCGAAAAGCACACGTTAACACACCGAAAACAAAACTTAGACTGCGCGGAATACTGGCACTGCCTTTGTAGTGTATCCACCCGACTCCGAGCGCATCCGACCGGCTCCGAGCACATCCAACCGCACCCGCTTTCAGATCTCTTCCAGCCGGTCGATGTGAAATAGTTGGCGGCTCCGCTCCGGCCAATTCCAAGCGTATACGACCCGGTCTGTGTGAAAAGAAAAAAGCAGGCCGATGCTCTCCGAGCCGGTCTGTGTGAACGGACCCTAATACACGAAGCTGTAAAACTGAGAAACTTTTGTAGAATTTTTCATAGTTTGTTGAATATTAAAACTACACGTTGCATGTACGTGACTTTTATAATACGTAAGGCTTTCAGAAGTGAATTTTGTTTGTTACATTTCTACTGCTTATATTATCATACATAATATGTATCTAAGTCTCTAGGGTAATTACTAGTATAGAGGAAATTCTAAAATAAGAACAAAATTCTAGTAGTTGAACTCTTTTTGCGTAATATGTCGTTTTACGTGGTACAAAATAACATATTTTATATTATTCATGCCATTTTTATTTCACAAGGTTTTTTTTTTCATACCATCTCACTTGATGTGCCATTCACTTGTGAAACGAAAAGCATTGTCGATAACATCATTTAGTTTACACTTATTTACATAAATCACTGAATTTTAATATGTCTGAGATATTTTTTATAGAAGAGGTGCAAACGAGCATACGGTTCACCTGATGTTAAGTGACTACCGCAGCCCATGAACAACCGCAACACCAAAGGCATTGCAGGTGCGTTGCCGGCCCTTTGGCAAGGAGTAAGCTCTTTCCTTGAAGGTCCCCAGGTCGTATCGATCCAGAAAAATCAGCGGTGGTAAATTATTCCACAGAGAGGTCGTACGCGGAAGAAAACTCCTAGTGAAACGTACAGTAGTGGACCACCAATCATTCAGATGATGAGGATGGTATCGCGAATTTTGACGCGATGTGCGGTCGTGAAAGTTAGCGGCTGGAACTAATCCGAACAATTCCTCAGAACACTCCCCATGGTTAAGGCCGTAGTCAGGGGGAGGGTCAAGGGGGATTGATCACCCCGAAATTAAAAATTAATATTACTCAACATAGTAGTTAATCACTACAAACAAAATTCTCTACCTACTGTTATTTGCATTATGTATGACTTTACGCTCGCTTGGTATTCGCACGACGATACTTAAATAGCGGCGCAGCGACATCTATTAGGGAGCGGCAAAACCACGTGCTACGCCAACTACACAATCAACGCAACTTCGGGCACGTGCTCGAACTGCAATTCGGGAATATTCAATAACCATAGAATGAGAATGGTTATTCTCGATGTTTCGTTGCGCCGCGTCTGCGGAATATATAAGCGAGCCGTCGAGATCGAGCACGGAGAGGCAGTTCTGTCTTGGAAAGTGATCCAATGCGACTAAGACGATATGTAATATTGTGCGCTCTTGGGTGTTTAAATAAAAGGCATGTTACTTGTTAGACGGCCCAAAATATATTGTCTGAAATACAGGTTGGATTTGATGTTCTAACATACAGTTCACATGCGGAAAGGGGATTGCCGTGCAAGCTGAATTCTACACGTCCGTGGGAGCGAGTCCACGTTTACACACCCGTGGGACTATTTTCTTGCTTACATTATTTTTATCACATTGCAGCTCCCCCAAAAATTATAGGGTACACAACCCCCATTTTTATAAGAAAAAAATGTTTAAATTAAGTACAATCATGATGTTATTTCTTATACTTACATTACAAACATAAAAATTCACAAATTTTTTTTTTATCAAATAAACAAGTTTGTCCATATTCCAGTCACAAAATGTACGTAAACGTTCTAGAGCTTCAATTTGTCTTCACCTATAGTGACAACCCTACCAAAATAGGTAACAATTTTGAAGCTTTGTGTCTGTTCCGTTTATCTAATCATGTGCGTACAGCGCGAAAATATCGTAGGTACAGCAACCACGTGGGCTGCTGTACCGCACTCTATACTCGATTGCCACGCGCCCACGATTAAATAAAGTCAGTATTCTATGTCTAACAAACAGAACTGGGAATCCTCAGCCTTTGTCGCCCCCATAGGTTACTGCATATATTATACTGGTCGCCCCGCAGCGGGGATTCCCAGCAATAGCAACGCAAACTAATGTTGCTAGACTGAACAAAAACATATTTAGTTATGTCAATAATACCGATTCATGACAATGAAATTTTTTCGGCGCGTTATACGGTTTTAAGTAATGCATAAAACTCCAGGGTGCGAGGCCCCCTGAATCGCGAGGCCGTAGGCGGTGGCCCACGTCGCCCACGCCTTACGCCGCCTCTGGAGATCAGGATGTTTTGGGAATTTTTTAGGGATCCCCTTATCATTTTAGTCGATTATTAGGCCTTTTTTCTATTTCTTTTCTTTCATCTTAATATTTTTGACCTAAATCTATCTTTATTAGACGCTGGGAATCGAAGTATTAATTCACTTCATTCATATTTTGTTTCGTGATATTTATCACGTGGGTACTTTATATATACGTGTGGGTGGTTACCCCCCATTTACTTGGGTATTATATTCATTTCATTTTATTGGTACATAAGTTATTTTTTATTATATTATATCAAGGTAATAGTGTACCTTGGGTTGTGCGCACAACCTTGAGGTCTCTACGCCTTTTAAGTCACTTAAAAAGGACTCCAACAATTGTCACAGAGGAAAACTATGTTCGCACCATGATCCAATGAAGGATGTGACCTCAATGTATGGTACATCAATGTATTAAGGGTAAGAAATTTAACACTTCTCTGGTCCCTAATAGTACTAATATGAGTAACGAGTTTACTACATCACTTGTACTAAAGGCGTTGTTACCTAGTACCCATCACTCCCGATTTTTTCACCCAATCACGGAAACATACCCTGCTTGAGGACTATATGCTTTACCAGTGATGGACGTCCCCGTGTCTCTCCGTTACTTATTTAACAAGATCAAATTTCGTTTTATTAATATATTCTATTTCTATCTTCATTTCCTTTCATCCTTTATTGTCTTTATTGTACCTATCGTTAACATTTATAGTCAAGGGGCTATATATACTATCATGCCCCACTTTCATACTAGTTTGCTTCCATTATTCTTGCTCACACTGAACACAATACTCTGATTTTTAGCGTCATCAAATATTTGGGTGATCAGCCCAATTACTGATGAAACTTAGGAAGTCAATCATACATAATCACACTTTCGAACGTTCCTTCTTTCATTCCTCATATCTCTTAAATACATACCTTCTTATTTGTACAAAGGTGTGCTAGCATATTTCTAGTCGATTTCCCTTTCCGTTTATAACTCTGTTATGGAACATACCTATTAAGCCTTCTCTTAATTATGACATTTCTTACTTTACTGTTATTCGTTATATTATTCATTTTTATTGAAATGCTATTTAGTTTGGTTGGTTTATTTTTTATGTACCCAAACGGATTACGTTATTAATTTGAAATAGCGTTATATCGCTTCAAAATCATCTCCTAATATTCCGTCAGCAGAACACGCTAGGTTCTTAAAAACATAAAACTTTTACTTAAAAAATATTATTGCTCAATGAGTCTAATAAACATAGATATCTTTCAGAAGCTAATTTACCACTTACGCCTTTAATAGTAATTTAATCATAGCGTAATTTGTTATCGTATTGAGGATGCTCAAGTAGCCACTCATGTTTCAATACGCGAGGCTTCGGCCACAATCTACTAAAAGACTTGATGAATGATTTATTTCTGTACTTGAACGGACTATGCTATTTATATTGTAATTTAAAACAAACTTATCGCTATTCTCTACGAAAAAGAAACTCGCTATTCCGTGTATTTTAAGTGCACTCCTGTTCTACCGCGGGCTCTGACTGTGTTTGAAGAACACGTCTCGAGTATGAATTAGAGGATGAGCGATTACTGAATCGGTTACAACGCTGTTGCCTAAAATAAATTGATGAGAAGTTGCTCAATTTCGGAACCGAATTTTTCAACGATCCTACGACCCTGTTTGGTACTTAAGACACTACACTACAATTTGGTACTACAAACACAGCTGAAGGGTTACTGCAGATTTCTTTTAAAGCAGGTGTTTATTCATGTCTGTAACTAGAGAATTCACGTCTTTATAATTATTTTGAAAACACAATTTCCCACTGTCTGTGAGTCTGGTTTTTAATATAAAATTATTAACTGCGCATTAACTTTGTTATTAAGCATACTACTGTACAATAAAATAATGTATATCAATTATGTAGTTAGTTTCGTTTTCCTGGTTATTTATAATTGGAAGTAAGGAAAGACAATTGGCTGAATAGAAGGTCCTACTTGGAATAAAAGAGTAATTTTCTTATAGGTGGAATATATGTTCTATATACACTTATTTTTGTGCTGCCAGTTCTCAATGTTTGTCTCAGAATTTTCGATTTTAACCTTAATTTGAAACGAAATTTACTTAAATATACTATACAATTTTGTTGTTGTAGTAACTTTATTTTTAGCGGTTTCTGAGCATTTTCTACGATGAGGTCTGATTTTAACTAAATGTTCCCTAATTTCTTCTAAATCATTTTGTAATTTTTGCAATTCTAACAAGAACATAACGTTAAAACACTGGAAAATATGACAAAAATATTATCTTATTTTATCGGTGAGAGGACAGAATACGGCTTACTTGGTTAACCTATTTGATCGATCATCGATGCGGTTTGAGGACGGGCTGGGCACGAAGGTGGTTGTCGGGGCTCTAGGTTATGCTGTCATCTTCTTGAATTGGGCCGGGTGTTTCCCTGGACACCTCTAGATGTACGTAGTGTAGCTTAAATGCGGTCTGGGTGGTTAAGGTTGTCCGTCGAGATGGCGTTCAATTCTCGTATTAAGTTTCTGATGGATGGTACTTCTTTTACGACGTAGTACATGATGGTGGCAGCTA